GAGAGAGAGAGAGAGAGAGAGAGAGAGAGAGAGAGAGAGAGAGAGAGAGAGGCAGCACTACTCAGGCAGACAGACAGACAGTAAGTAGCATTGTTGCTTTACCCATTCCTGGGTTTTCCTTTTAGCATAACTGTGCGTACATATGTAAACGTATCTATGTAGACCCATAGATATGTAGCTGTTAGCATTTCTGTATCTGCCTTCTTTGTTTGTGTATTTTATTTATATCCGGCTGTCTCTTTTCCTCAAAACATGTGGCATGCGCGTGTGTGTGTGTGTGTGTGTGTGCGTGTGTTCCATAATTTGTAGCTACATTTAAATGATTTGTTGCTCGAAATACTAATTAGCCGATGCTTCTGTTTGGATTTCTTTTTGGAATGCCAACCTGTTGTCTGTGCCCCTATAAGGCCACGAGCTACAATAGCTGTTTGTTGTTTGTTGTTTTTGGGCGTGCGCCACTCCAAAAGTTGGCCCAAATTATTTGTGAAACATTTTAAAGCAACTGACGGCGCTTGGGCTTGCCAAGTTCATTGAACGGCCTTTCACCCAGCACGAGTCAGACTCATAATCAGAGCCAGAGCCAGAGTCATAGTAGATGCCAAACATTCATTCACCTGACTCACTGTTTAAAGTCCAAAAGCTGCGCATGCGCAGTAGGTGACGGAGATTTATGGACGATTTTAAATGAATTTATTATCAGAAATGAGACATCTTTAGCTAAACTTGCGATATTCATTTTAATTTTCAGCAAGTGATAATAAAGCGAATACTGAATATATCTAGACATATGCATATCTTATCTTTGAATATAGTTTTAATTTTTTAAGAACTAATTATTATGAATGGCACACTTAAGGCTTAAAATAGAATTTCATCAAAAATTTGCTGACATTATATGATATGATATGATATAATATAATGATTGAAGGTTGGCTTAAGGAATGTCAATATCTTGTCTGGCCAATGCCATATCAATGCTTCATAATTAGTTCACATAAATGAGACCTCAAAGCGGAAATGGAAATAGGCATGGAATAATCAAGGATTTATTTCATTTTGGTATTTGATTTGGATTATTATCAGTGATTATCATAAATGTGGAACTCTTCTCTCATCGATGAGAAAGCAGAGCGCATAATAAGCTAACTGTTATCCCATTAGAGATCTTGAATTTGTCGAAAGTATTCAATATTATCCACATATATCATAATTACTTATAATATCAACACAAATCAGTTAAGCGAAATGAATTGAATTTTTTAATTACTGAAAAGATTGAAGAAGCGGTTAATGAATTTATATTCTGTATAATTAAAATATCGATCTAGATGTAGTTATCTACATATTTATACGCATATACATACAGACACATTTTTATGCTAATATATAAATTATCTTAAGACTAAAGTTCAACCGTCTGCGAATGAGTTCAAGCTCTGGTATACTTAAGATAGCCATTTCCTTTCGTTAACAGCTGTTCGGCATAGATTATATGCACGTTGCTTATAAAGTTTATAAAGCTCATATATGTAGATGTATAGTATAGAGCAGATGCGGGACACACTTTATCAGCTCCAGTTATTGTTGCTGTTGCTGTTGCTGTCGGCACTATCGGCATGAACAAAGGCATGTCAGCTCTTTGGTGGCACTGCCAGTGTCAATGAACAATTAGTGGAGCGATCAATGGTCGCCTGGGTCTCGTAGAACCCAAAAAAGAAATACATGTACAAATCAAATGTGTGTGTGTGTGTGTGTTTCATACGTAACATAAACCCGAGCACTCTGTGTCGGAAGTGGAGCATGCGATTCAAAATCAATTAACATGCTCAAATTATGGAAAATTCAACTAAGTTTGGCAATTATTTGTTCAGATGCAGTCCACGAGAGGCACACAAAGAGAGAGAGAGAGAGAAAAAAGACAGAGAGAGAGAGAGAGAGAGACTTGCTACAGATTTATCAATGTAAATTGATTTTTGATGGGGTTATCAGCACGTGACTTGAGGCACAATTAAAGAGATACAGATTTATTGAGGGCTATAGATACTTTTACAGCCACAGATACAATTGGAGCTGGAGATACAAATACAGGCTGTGCCCCCGTTATACTGACATTGGCACCAAAGCGATTTCGAATTTACAGCAAATCTGATAAGATCTTAATACAAATATTATATTTATATATATTTACAAACAAGCAGCAATTGCATTGCATACACTTCAGAGTGGCAAAGAGATAGAGCGAGAGGGGGGAGGGAGTGAGGGAGAGACACATTGTGACTTGACACTGATTTCTAAATGGAAATGTATTGTAAATTGATTTCTGACGAGGTTATCTGCACGTGCCGTTAATCAGGCGCTTGCTCAAGCTTTAATCACAGCCCGTAAAAGATACAGATACATTTACAGGCACAGATACAGTTACACACGCAATGCTCCCAGTTGTTTTGACATTGGCGCCAAAACGCTTTCGAATTTACAGCAAATCTGATAAGACAGAAATGTATAAATATTATACATTTATATATTTGATCACAAACAAGCTGTAAACCTGCATTTGAGAATTGTCATCCAGCTGCTCGGATCACAAGCTTATCAACGCTATCAATCAACAACTCAGCTCAGCTCAGCTCAGCCCTAATCAACTGCAAATATGTAAATATTTTCTGAACTGATTAACGTAAAAGTTTCGTTGTGGGGTAAAAATATTTATATTTTTCCATAAGATGTGGAAAGATTTTTTTTCATTTTATATATTTTATGTGCACTCAATTTATATAAATGTATGTATGTATGTATATATATATATATATAGAAATCTATATGTACATATATTTGTAAGGTTCCACACGCAAGCGCACTGAGGCATATCCAACGAAATAAAAAGAGTCTCAGAAAAAACCGCAAGAATTTTAAAAAACAAAACAAAAAAAACTTGAAGCTTGAAACCTCAGTTATTTGGCAATGAATGATTGACTGACTGACTGGCTATCTCTCTCTCTCTCTCTCTCTCTCTCTCTCTCTTGCTCTCTCTCTCTCTCTCATTCTGTCTCTATGTTGCATTGTAAATGCGCAAAACTTGTTTGCTGCAACACAAATAACTCAAATATATATAAATAAATAAATATATAAACAATCTATACTTAATAAATACGTATTCCATGCCATTGGCTACTTAGCCTAGTTACAGTTTGCTTATTAATTAATTTAATTGAAATATTTGCCAGACACATGCCACAATTAGTATGGAATTGGGTGTCTTGGTCAATGGGGAACGTTAACGTATGAATCAGATTCAGAATTGCTATCTATAGCTCTGTCTGTATCTGTATCAGTTTCGGTCGCAGCTTCAACGTCATTGGCAGTTCTAATGCTTCTTAAGGTCCTACTGACGTCATATCCATTTGAATTAACAATCTGTGTTTTGGTAAGAGCTAAGTAAGGATTCATATTATATATTTAGTAGAAGGTTCTATCAAGTATATAATGTAGCAGGTTTAGCTTTCATTTATTTAATTTGTAATTGTGTTCATACATACTTTGCTAATATATTTATTGTATATTCATTTTTCTGTTTTCCCTTAGAAGAAACACATTTTCACGAGATCATTATCAAGGACAACTCCTATTCAGCATGATAGGGCATCTTTTAGTCGTCTACAACTAAATTCCACATAATCTTGCATCTATTTATTCTTTATCTTCAAGTAGTATATTATATTATATTATTACTTTTATTACATCCGCACATCTGGTTGAGTACTTGCTTTTCCATTAGATTTATGAAATTGTTTATAATCTTTTGTTTCTTTATCTCTTGAGTACCGTTTGCTTTCTCTCTGTTATATATTCATTCACGAATTCTAGTCACCCCCGCTCCTGCCTCGTGTCGATGACACGTTCCCCATTTAATACATTTTGCTTTAATTTGTTAAGGTGATTATGCATTTTGGTATTCTTCTTTAAATTGATTATGTAAATAATATAACCGCGAGATGTCAATAACGTATCAACTAAAAGTTGACTTTTCGCTTTTTTTTTTATTCATTCTACCAAGCAACCGGTTTGAAAGGAAAGTCAAGAAGTCGCTCCCAAAGATCAAAGACAGAGCAAAAGGCCTTGAACAAATGCCAACATATGTATATTTATTTTATTTTCTTGATTTTTTTGTTGTTTTATTTTGTTTCCTATGCTGCCTTAGTGGGTTTTCTATGGGTGAGTCAGCGCACAGTCATGTCTGGATAGGCATAGCACTCGCAAAAAATAGGTAGAAAGAGTGTGTCGCTCTTTTTATGATACCCTCAAAATACTGATAGAGGGTGAGCGAAGGCATTTTGTCAAAAGTTATGTAACAAGCAGAAGAAGAAGAAGAAAGTATAACTCCAAACCACCTGTTTCAAATGCTCTATAGCTTACGCAAATCAACCTATCAAGAATTTATTCCGTTTCCAGGAAATTGATTAAAGCCGATATCAAATTCTAGTCGTTGCCCTTATCACGCATATTGTGGGCACTAGAACTGCCTAATTTTTGATATATTGATATTATTAATTGGGCACTACATTTATTGGATAGCTTGCACAATCTATGCAAAAGCGAAAAAAGAAAAAGCTGCAGGGAATCTTCCAGTCGAGCACTCCCAGCTGTCGCACTCTTATTTGCTTTATTTACATGCCTATTTATTTTTGCCTAAAAATCGACTATAAAACAATTTTTGAGGTTTTTTTCTGGTTTATTTCATTTTTTTTTTTTTTTTTCAGAGTAATTTGTATGATAATTGTGTTTGACATTAAGATAAAAGTAAATTACTTGTAAGAAGGGGTTCAGGCCAATTAGTTCTTGGTAACGCATTTGCATAACTATCCCACGTCTCTGTAGCTGTAGCTGTAAAATATCGATCTAGACTTAAGCTGATTTTCTTCTCGCTTGTTTTTCAAGTTCAGGAAAGCAAAAACTGAAAAGCAACATCGAAACGAAACGAACGTCAGCGAAAAACGCCCATAAAAGGCACACGAAAGCCGTTTACGTGTTAACGTGTTTCTGGTTCCTGATTCCTGGTATTGGCATGATGACTCTTCACGCCAAAGCCAAAGAAGACGGCGACGACATTAAACGTACCTATATGTACATCTATATATCTACATATATTAAAGTCGCGTCTCGTCGCGTCGCGTCGGTCTGCATCTTTTCTTGGACTTCAAGTTAGAACATTAACAATTTGTGACTAAGTTCCCGGCCGGTGTGCGCGGAGTCTCAATTGAAGTTGCTGCCAGACGGCGCGACGTGTGTGTTGTTGTTGTTGGCTGTTTCTCTTAGCCAAAAAAAAAAGAAATAAACTCGTTTCTGGCCACTCGCAGGGGCTGTGCGGCGAGGCGCGGTCATGTGACACAGGCATAAGGCCAAGTCTTTTAGCCATTCATCTGTATCTTGGCTGACTGCGCGCGCGCGCATTTGTGTGTGTGAGGGTGTGTGTGTGTGTGTGTGTGTGTGTTTTAGCCCTATTGCGCTTACCTTTCGATGTTGTTCTTGTTGTTGTCGTTGCTGTTGTGTTATGTTTGGCTGTTGTGGCTGGCGTCTGTTGCAGCTTTCAATTTGTTGAGTATTTGAGTTTTTTTCGTTCAAATTGGAGCCCGGTCGCGCCTCTAGTTGCTGTAGTCGTATTTGCTTTTTGTATTTTTTGATCTATTTCTGGCCACCTAGTCGTGGGCAGTGCAAAGAATTTCTTATGCGAGAAAGCGAAAGCAAACGTGAACCGCGGCACAGCACAAAAAAAAGCGAAAGTTAACTGTAAAAAACGCCTCGATTTAGAAACCGAACCGAACGCAAGGCGAGGAGAGCGAACGCGCTTATAAATACTTCTAGTATATGTATCTGTATCTGATTATCTGTAGCAGTTTAGCAGCTGTTCGTACGATCCCCGTGTACCGTTCTCTGCAAGTACATGTGTGTGTGTGTATGCTTCTATAGGTATATTATTTGTTGTACATATGTGTAGCATATGAAGTGTGCGACCTGCCTCCGCATGCGAAAGGCACGCGTTTCAAATAAATTCGTTGGGATTCGTTTAAAATATATATTCTATTTTGTTTTATTTTAGTTATTCTGTGTTGCTGTTTTTTTTTTTTTTATATTTGGTTTTTTGTTTTTTATGTTTTATTTCGTGCTTTAAGCTGTTGTTGTTGATATTCTATTCTCAGCGGCGCTTTGGCGCTTTCCAATACGTAATTGATCGCGCGCTTACCGACCGATCCGAGCGACTGACTAAAGATAACTAAAGGGAAATGGAAATGTGTTGGCAGTATAAACCACAAAGCAGACAACAACAACAGCAATAGCAGCAGCACCAGCAGCAGCCATAGCAGCAGCAATAGCAGCAGCAATAGCAGCAGCAACACCAACAGCAGCAGCAGCACCAATACAAACAAACCGTTCGTCCACACAAGCAACGCAAAAACAGTACGCAGCAGGCTGCTTTGCGATACGAAGGCATTCTCTCACGAGAACTGAGCAGCACACACTCGGACTCACACACACGTGCACACGCACACACGAAACATGTGCTTGTATTTGATGTTTGCATGGGCTTGTGTTTGTGTTTGCTTTCGGCATTTTGTTGCTGTGCTTCGCGCGTTCTTTCAAACGCACATTATCAGAGAACGAAACTTTTGCCGTCTCGCCTCCCTCCGCCTTAAGCCCACCACCTAGCCCAACTCTTTCATTACGCTCGACGTTATCGTGCATACGGCGTCGTGAATGAAAATGCCACAACAACAACAACAGCAATAGCAGCAGCAGCAGCCGCATTAAGAACGTCAACGTTAGCCAACATAAATATGTTACAACAACAACCGGCGAAACTAAAAACATGGCGTGTTGCCCAAGCAGAAGACTGTGCGCATGTGTGAGTGTAACTACAACAGTGTGGGTACATGTTTGGCTGTGCGTAGGGTACTTGATGAAACGAATTTTGCTGAGAGTGTAAGCTCTCTCTCTCTCTCTCTCTCTCTCTTACTGTCTAGCTCTCTAACATGTCGACACTCATGCCATCGCCCTTGCTTTCGTCTTAGCGCTTGTCGGACAAAATGGCCTGCCAAAAAAACTAAACAACAACAAAAGCAATAAGCACACACACACATGAACGCATACATTATACGTATACGCAATTTGATTTCGATTCCGATACCGATACCAATACAATCAAGAGTGTTGATTGTTGTTTCTTTTGCTGCTGCTGCTTCTTCTCAGAATTCTCTCAATTTTGATGCTATTTTTCTTTGACTCATTTGTATCTTTTTTATAAGTTTTGTATCACAGAAGAAGTGAAGTTTTTTCTTTCTGTTTTGTATGGATATCAGGCATGTTTGCCCGCTTGTGTTTATATTTGTATTAGTAATTATGGTATATTGAGTGTGTGTGCTGTGGCTTTTTCCACTAACAAGTTATTTTGAATGAGATCCATTCACGTTTTTTTCAGTTTTATTTCGACTGTTAACTGGTTACCGGCATAACACACACACAAATAAATGGCTTGAAATAATTGCCATAAATTATGAAATAGTAAGATATGAACTAGCATGATTGGACAGAAAAGACAAGACATCTAAAAAAACCGCAAATCATGGGAATCGGAATTGGAATTCATTAAGCGTTCTATGAACTTCAAATAATTCAATGCGCGCACATGCGAGCGACTGTTAAATGTGAAACCAAAAATAAACTCTAAAATAAGAGCTCTTATTTTGAATTATGCTTATCGCATGGCACAGTTTTTTTTTTCTTTCATACCCTGTTTTTAATTTGACTTTTGGTCACTTCTCGAAATTTCCGTGATATAATTTTGCATATAAGGCTTAACTTATCATACTCTATAGTGAGTATATTATAAAATATCAGGCTTGGCACGTGATAATGCTAAATGGGAATGCCTATCGGATGGTTGAATACGTTTTTTAGGTGCCTTGAATATTAAATGATAAGCTGCCGCTGACAAAAACGACAAAACTCTTTCAGATCCAATTGCAAACTGGTCGATTTGATTATCCCAATATAATATTAGATAAGAAAATTAATTCATTTCCCGCTTCCACTAAAGAATAGGAAATAACTTGGGAAATACTAACTCATTATCCTACCCAAAAATATTCTTCAAATTGAATCTGCCACAGTACTTTTCCATTGCATTATCTATAAATATAAAAAAAAAAAAATAAATAAATAAAAACAGACATTAATTTTATAAGTCTTTGTTAAAAATTTTTAATATCAAGAAATTCATTAAAAGCGGCAGGAAATACTTTTTGATGAGATTTACCAACAGGTCCACATAATATAATTCTAACGGATGGAGTCGAAAATGAATACGAAACTTTCGATAGGATACTTTTATCGATAATCATATTCGACTAGAGCAGCTTACACGATAAGCGCCAACATCCTGATCTCTTCTTTCTCTTTTTCACTTGCAGAGAGGCTCTGGTCGCTGTTTCAAAGACTTCCCGCACGCCCTCTTGCATTTTGGCCGAGCATTCGAGGTATGCAAAAGCATTCACGATTTCAGCCATAGTAAACCCCTGTTCCGTTTGAACAGGTTGTTGCTTTTGTAAAGATAGTTCCTAATCGAAATAAAAGCAATGTTATTTAGATATAAATATTTAAGATTCGGTATTGATAACACTTGCCCTAATGGTATCCGGATCATGGCGCAAATCACGTTTGTTTCCCACTAAAATAATGGGAACATTTGGACAAAAGTGCTTCACTTCGGGTATCCATTTATCTTGAATATTCTCCAGCGAATCAGGTAAATCAATGGAGAAGCACATGACAATAACATCTGTATCCGGATAGCTTAAAAGACGCAAGCGATCATAATCCTCCTGACCAGCAGTATCCCACAGAGCCAATTCCACCTTGAGAAAAGAAAAAACATATAAATACATGCAAACATTTATTTTAGCCAAATATATATGTATAAATTTCGTATTGAAAGAGCACTTGAAACGCAAATTCGAATTGCTACTCAGAAAAGCAGCAGAGAATTGCGATAACCTCGACGTGAATCATACATTGAATAGGGGCCCAGCATATTGCGAAAACTAAAATAAGATCTGTACTAAATAACACTCTCTTTATATTTATATATGTATGTATATACACAGACATGAAGCATCAGTACTATATAAATAAAATAAAAAGTGCGTATACCAGTAGCATTGCTCATTCGAGATAACAATGCCGTAGTTGCTTTGTGAATCAACTAATTAAACATACCTGTGATCCTTCTACTTCTACATCTGCCACATATGTTTCGAAAACGGTTGGCACATAATCCAAGGGGAAACTATCTTTGCAAAAGACAGTCAAGAGGCACGTCTTGCCACATGCTCCATCGCCCACAATGACCAATTTTTTGCGAATTGAACTCATTTTCGGTGCACTCGAAAAACAATTGTTTTTATCCGTAGCGTATAACAAGAGAAATTGATGTTTGTCTAGGAACTGCCCGTTTGTTTAGTGAGTGTGGCTATATGAAATACCTTTTTGTTTATGAATTTTTGCTGCGCTACACAGCAGATGCTAAGGCGTATGCATCAGTCAATATTATGCTCTACTTTGTTCTCTAAAAAATTGCACAAATCTTACTTCTCGATTTTACACCATATTTTAATAGAAAATAAATTTAACTACCAAACCTAGTATATTATATATTTATAGGGTAAACAATGTTCGAATAACAGTTAAGTTATTGCACTTTGTTATGGGTAGCACTTTGCAACAGAGCTGTTCACGGCAAGTGGCAGCGCCGAAAACTATCGGACTTATTGTGTTCCATTTTCAAAATATCGATATATTCGAATCAGCTCTACAGACATTGCCGCGAAGAAGAGGAATTGAGCTCTTCCTCTTTCTTTTATTTCCGCCATTGCCTGAGATAGTTGGAAAAATATGGGTGAGTGGTTAAAAAAGAGTGATTTTTGTGAGAAATACGCATATAGCGTTGTTAAACAAAGTGCAAAACGAATTTTCGTAGTTGTGCAGCAGCAAATGTAAGTGAATACAAAAGAGCCGGCGTTTAAACTTGTTCAAAACTTCAAGAGTTACAATTTTTCAATTTGGGATACAATTTTGTGTCTGTAAAAAATCCGTTAATATTAAAAGAATCGTGTAACAGATCAAGTTAAGAAATGGTGTAATAGTCAAACTGCTTTGTAATAGAATTATTAGAATTGTTATTTGTACAAGATTTCATATTTGGTGCCACTCACAACGACGTATTCAAACTAACCTCAAATAGCCGCTGCTCCATTTGCCATTTGTTTACATTGTGTTTGTTGTTCTTGAAACCAATCAGATGCATATATAAAAGTAAATGAACATACAATAATGTGATTGTTAATTGCAGGCAAGCCTAGAGGTCTGCGCACTGCCAGAAAGCATGTGAACCACCGTCGCGACCAGCGTTGGGCCGACAAGGACTACAAGAAGGCTCATTTGGGCACCAGATGGAAGGCCAATCCCTTCGGTGGTGCATCTCACGCCAAGGGCATTGTCCTTGAGAAGGTGTAAGTAACACATTTATACTAAATTGGTTAGGATTTTAAGTTGAATTATTTGAACGCATTCGATGTCTCGCAGTATATTTTTGTGTTTTGTTTATTATTAAAATCAAATCACAGGATTATACTGTGAGTTATCGGCTGAAACAACAACAAATTTAATAAAAAATTCTGCTTTAACTATCATTTATTATTTTAGTGACAAATTAAAACCAATTTTTATTCTCTTTGCTTGCAGTGGTGTTGAAGCCAAACAGCCCAACTCTGCCATCCGCAAGTGCGTGAGGGTTCAACTGATCAAGAACGGCAAGAAGATTACCGCATTCGTGCCCCGTGACGGTAGCTTGAACTACATTGAGGAGAACGACGAGGTTTTGGTTGCCGGTTTCGGTCGTAAGGGCCACGCTGTCGGTGATATTCCCGGTGTCCGTTTCAAGGTCGTCAAAGTCGCCAACGTTTCCCTGTTGGCACTTTACAAGGAAAAGAAGGAGCGCCCAAGATCTTAGATGATGATACATCTATCAGTTTCCAGAGTTAGAGTTTAACAAATCTAAATAAACAAAAAAACAACAAAACTGAAATCTTTGTGTTCGACTCCTGTGCAGATTGGTTAATGAAATAAGTGGATGGAAATGAAAATTAACTTCGGGGATACATGGAATCGACCTGGATATGTTGCTGCATAAAGCAAAGAATAGCTTGAACAGAAGTCAGGCTTTGACGGCGCTACAATTTCCCCTTTTAATTTTGGGACATAATTCATAGTTTTTTTGTTATAATGTTGAGCATTTAATATTTGTATTTTGTATTTTCAGTTGGTCTTATATATGTATGTATATGTATGTGTATTTAAATGCCTAGAGCCTTATGAACTAGCAGTATGGATTAAAGTCAGCCTGTGCCAGACTCTCCCCTCTCTTCTCAAGGGTATCCACCGGGGCCGCCGCCGGCATTGAAGTTGTTTGGTCCGGGACGACGCATGGGCCGACGGCCACGTGAACGATTGGCGAACATACGATTTGTGTTGGGTGATCCGCTGGGCATGTTGGGGTCTTGGTTACCTGGATGACCTCCGCGCATGTTGCCAGGTTGTGAATCACGCTGCCACACAATGCGCGCCGGCCTGTTGGCATTGTTGTTGTTGTTGTTATTATTTGAATTTCCGCCACGCATCAAAGTGCGACCGCCGCGTCGCGTCGGCACTGTGCTGCGCAGCGTCCGAAAGCGTGTGTTCTCCGACGGAGATGTGGCCTCAGCTTCGCGACCTTCCTCCTGGTAAAATAAGAAATACATTTATTGAAATGATACTACTCTTCGGGTACAGTAAGCAATTTAGATGATTACCTCAACTTCAACAGCCTGTTTTTCACCCTCTGATGAGACGCCATCAGCGCCCTCGTTTTCCTCTGAGGGTCCTTCGGCCTGGTTATCCGGGTTATCCGTCTCTACCGACTGACTGGTTCCCACATTTGGATCTGTGTGTGATTTATGGCTCAGTTAGATATCGTTCTTTGCTCAACAATTCCATCTCTACTTACTCTCATTGCTTTGTTGCTGGGAGTCCTCTGCCTGACCTGGAGCTGTCTCTTCGGCAAAGGCTTCGTCTGCTTCGCTTACGTTCTCCGCACCTGCTGTCTCACTTTCATCTGACTTGTCTTTGGCCTCGGCTGCCTGACTGCTAGTGCTCTGTTCGGCGGCCTCGTTTGGCTTCTGTGGCGAACTGGCGAGGGCGGCGGTGCAATCAACGCTCGTGCCGGCGCTTTCATCTGCTGCTGCTGCGGCTTCTGCCACTGCTGTGCCATCGACTTCCGCCTCTACGCATGTGGGCTGTTCGCTAAAGTTGGATACTTGTGGGGAGCTGACGATTTCAACAGAGCTAAAGTCGGGAAAGAGGAAAATTATAGCACACTCTTCTCTAGGATTCTATTGAGATACTAACCTCTCAGTGCGACGTGCTGCTGCTGAAGATGTGGAAGGTGCCTGCTGTTTCCAGTTAGCCTCCGCCTGAGGCAATTGAAGGGCATTTGATTCGCCACTGCCGCTTGTTATGGCCTGGCTTTGATTATTCTCTTGTGTGGAGACGGTGGCAGGCGAATCCTCCAGCAACTGTCCCTCGGCCTGAGCCTGCATCTGCACCTGTTCAATGTCGACTTCGTTGTGCTGATCTGGTGCATCGGCATTGTCTTCCATTTCGTTGTCCTGCTCGTAGGAGTCCTCGTAGCCCTCTTCCTGCTCAGCATCCCCGCCATCGATGGGCCCCAGTACATCTTCCTCCTCATCATCAGAGTCTTCGACCTGAATATCATCCTCCTGGTCACGCTGCGACGATGTAGGCATCTGGTCCACATCCATGCCAGAATCGCCAATATGCCCGGCAGATAGCTCGCCGCCGTGCATGGGAGCCCGCAGACGCTTTGCTAGCTTTACGATCTTTTCGGGTACACCCTCTTCAGCATTGGTGGAGGAGTCACCCTCCACATCACGGGGTCGCTTGGAGCATCCTGCCTGTGTGGTGGTTACATTGCTGCTGGAGGGAGTGTGGCGACTGTGGCTGCTCACCACCGTGGAAGAGCTGCTGCTGCTGCCCGAGGTACTGGGCTGTTGTTGAATGTTCGCCTCCTGGACGCTAGGAACAGTTGGATTCTGTGTGGAAGTCGATGTGGTAGTGCTGCTAGAAGATGACGACGAGGAGCCCTCCACACGCGGTGAGACGAGTGCCACCACCTGCTGCTGTGTGCCACCCGCAAAGAGCTGTCCATCATTCTGTTGCGGATGCTGCACGCTTTCCGCCTCTTGGGAGCTCTCAGCCGCAGCTGTCGCGCCCATGGGCGGAATGGCCGCCACGGCCACAGCCGCCGAGCTGGTCGAAGGCATGTAATCTGTGTGCGATGATGTGGGCGACGAAGAGGCCATCGATTCCAAGGTGGCGCTGCCTGTGGTATGCACCTGTTGCTGTGGCGGCACTAAAGCCGTGTTGCCCACAGCGGATGAGGAGCTGCTACTGCTGCTGCTGCTACCCGAAGCAGCGGCACCCGATGAAGTGGACGTCGATGTCGAAGTTGAGGTAGAGGCGCCTGGCTGCTGGCTTGTGGGCAGTATGGCAGCCGTGCGACTGTTCTGCACTGAAATTGGACGAATGCTAGCCAGGGGCGTCTCACCGCCACGCCATGGAGTGACCGTGGCCGATTGCTGAACGGTGGCCGAGCCGGACATGGGCTTCACATTGGCCGTGCGTGGCGAGGATTCGGAGATGTTGCCCTTCTCGACCATGCCCACAGAACTGGTGGATGGCTTAGTGGACTGTTGCGAACCCAGCTGGCGCTGCAGCTGATTGATTCTCATGTGAAGGGATTCATTTTCACGCGTGAGACGCGCATTGATGTCCTTATTGCTGGCAATGTGCTCCTGCAGCTCCTTCTCCAGACGTTGCACAGTCTCGTCATAGCTGGTCTTGGTGCCGGCGAACGTTGACTCCTGGTTAGCCAGCTCGGTCTTGGTTACGGTCAGCTCCTGCAGCAGGTGCTCGATCTTCTGCTTGGCCTCGCCGCCGTCCTGATCCAAGTTGGAGCGCGACTTGAGATCATCGTACTCCTTTTGCAGCTGTTCGTGCTGCTCCTTGGTGCTACGCATGGTATTGTTCAGTTCGTCCAGCTCGGAACGCACCTTCTCCAGCTCGGCAACGGTATCGGTGCCCCCAGTCTGTGCCTGCAGGCCCGTATAGTAGTCCTTGTAGCGCTTTGCCAGCTTGCGCAGCATTAGCTCTTTGCTCTCCTTGTCCTGTATTATCTTATCCTTGGACTCGAGGTCTTCTTGAGCCTTTAACAGCTCCTCCTCCTTCTGGAGCAGGCGATTCTTCAGCTCCATGATGTCCTGAGCGTGTCGCGTGTTCGCCTGCTTAAGCGCATTGGCCTCCTCCAACTGCTTCTTACGCGACTCATCCTGCAGCTGCAAAAGCTTGTTCAGCGCTGGCAGCTCGTTGTCCAAGCGTGCCTTAAGGGCAGCCAGCTCATCCGACTGTTTCTTGCTCGCTTCCTTTTCGGCTGTCAGAAGCTTGGCCAGATGCTCGCGTTCTCCTTGCAAGCGCTTGAATTCCTCCGGGTTCCTATTGCTCTTCTCGACCAGAGCATTGGCACGTTGACGCCACTTGATGGCCTCGGTGCGCAGCGAGTTGTTCTCCACGTTCAGCTCCTCAATCTTGGACGTTAGCTCCTTGTTACTGCTCTGCAGCGGGAACAGCTCTTTCTCCAAGCTGCTAATGCGCTCCGTCAGCTCGCTCACCCGCTTGGTCAGCGTATTGCGCTCCTCGCGCAGAATGCGATTGCTATCGGTGATGGCATTGAGGGTTTCTATCTTGCGTAGCACTGCCTCATGCTTGGCAGCTGAGACAACATCGGTTTCGCTCTTGGAGCGCTCCTGCTTGAGATAACCATTCAGCTCGTCCACCTTCTTCTGCAGAATCGTGTGCTCCGAGACGAGCCGTGCATTCTCTGCTTTTAGAATATCAAGTTTGGCCGCATACAGATCCTTCTCCTTGCGTAGGAATTTGATAATCTTCAGGAGCTGCTCGCTGTTCTTCACATCATCCAGAGCCGAGGAGCTATTGAGATCCAAGGTCGAAGAGCTATCCAGCAACGAATCGTTGAGAGCATTTTGATTGGACGCCGACTTGGCGAGCGCGGCTAGCTTCGTGGTTAGTGCCTCAATCTGATCGTGCAGACTGGAATTGAGTGCGTTCAAGTCAGCGACACGTTTCTCTGATTCTTCTTTCTCTTTCTGCAGCAGACCCTGAGCCTCGGAGTTTGCTTTTTTTAGCTCATCATGGGCCGCTTGCAAGGCTTCACGTCCGCACTTCAGTTGATTGAGTTCGTCTTGCATCTGAAAGCAAATATTAATTATTATTCAGTAGAGCTAATATCTGATCCTCGATCTTTAACATACCTTCAAGAAGTCCGCCTTGAATTTGGTCAGCTCCTGAATATCAGCGGAATGTAGCATCATCTCATTGGCATACTTGACCTCGACGGAGTTGAGGGATTCGGCCAGCGTTGAGTTCTCACTGCGCAGGTTGCGAATAGTGCGACCCGATTCGGTCAACTTCTCCAGCACATTCTTGAGCTCCTCCTGGGTGGTTTTCAGCTGATCCGACTGATTGGTGGTCTTGCTCTGTTCAGTCACATTGGCGAGCAGTAGCTCAGCCTCCAGATCAGTGACGCGCGTCTGCAGCTCAGCCTCAGAGTTCTTCAATTTCTTGATTTCCGCATCGGACTTGGCCATGGTCTCGGCGTGCATTTCATGCAATCGTTTGATTTCGCTCTCTGCGGACTGGGACATCTTGTAGAACTGGTCGCCATGCTCGCGAGCCTTGGCTAACTCCTTGGAGAGCGATTCAATCTCGATTCTGGCCTGTTCGTAGCGCAGCTCGAATTCACGTGCCTTTTTGTTGGCCGCTGTGATGGGATTCTCGTCCTTGGATGGGGTGAGGCTCTCCTGCAACTTCTTGCTCAGCTCATTCACCTGGTTGACCTTTGCAGCGAGCTCCTCGCGAACTCCTAAGAGCTCTTGATGCCACTTCTCGGCCTGCAGACGCTCTTCCTCCTTCAGCTTGTTGGCCGTTTCCGCTTGCCGCTTGAATTCGTTCACCGTTTCGCGGAACTTCTCCTCCTCCTCTTGGAAGTGACGACGCTGAGCGGACAGCTCACGCACTGTATCATCGAGACGCTGCTCGAGACGCAAGCGTCCCTCGGTCTCAGAGCGCTCCAGATTTGCTTTGATGAATTCCAAGTTGTTAAGTAGCAGCGCTTGGCTCTGGTGCTCACGATTGAAGCCCTCCTTCTCGGCCTGCAGACGAGCAGTTGTCTCTTTAAGTACACGATTCTCGTGACGCAAGCTGTGTGCCTCCGTCTCGGATGCGACCTGTTTGCGGTGGGCGGACATCACCTCGTCCTTGAGCATGTGCACGGTCTGCTCATGCTTTATGATCGTCTTCTCGTAGTTCTTGGTGCGATCCTCCAGAGCTGCTATTTGTTGTTTGTATGTGGCTATACCCTTGTGCAGCAGTTCCATTTGTTCCTTTTGGAACTCGGAGGCGTTCATCAGTTTGCAGTTGATGGAGGTGAGCTCTCGGACCTCCTTGCGCATCGAATCAAATTGATCCTGAACAAGTGCATCATTCTTGCGCTTCTCACTGGTATAGTAGTCGTAGTTCTCCTTAAGAGCTGCATACTTCTTCGCCTCATCGTCCAGTTGCTGCTCCAAGCTGCGTATACGTCGCTCCAATTTGGCTTCTGCCTCCAGCTGTTGCGTCTTCTCCACTGTCTTTGCTTGTTCCGATTGGGACTCGTCGATGAGCACGGTGGAGTCGTCCAAATCGATGATCTGGCTGCCCAACTTCTTCTGGGCATCGAAATAGAACTTCTTGTAGCGCTCACACTTGGCAATCAAGGTAGAAATGGTGTTGTTCTTCTGATTAAGAGACTCCTCCATTTCGACCAGACGCTTGGTGGCCTTCTCGAATTTCTCCTCGAATGCCTTTAGCTGCAGTTCATCATTCTTTTGCTCGTTGGCCTCCAGTTCGGTTGTCAATTCACGGATTAGCGCCAGCAACTTCACATTTTGCTCCTGCAGCTCGACAATGGACTCGAATGTGACCAGATCTCGACTGATAGCATCACTGGAGTTGTGTACGACGCCGTGTGGTGTCTGGCTACGGGATCGACTCACGCCAGCACGTAGACAATTGAGCTCATCCAGCAGCAGGCACACTTGGCGGCTCAAATCGACTTGCGATTGCTTCAGCTTTTTGTTCTCCTTGACGTGGCGTGTGACATCGAAATTGGCCTGCTCCAGCTCCTGTTCGAGTGCCAGCTTCTTGTCCACCAGCTCATCCCGTTGTTGTAACAGCAGCTGATGCTCCTCGGTCAGTTTGCTGAACTCTTCGTCCTGCTTCTTGAAGACAGGCGCACGCTCATTGATTTCATCCACAATCGATTTGATCTGCAGCTTAAGCTGAGCATTCTCGCGGTTCTTAGCTTCCAGCTCTTCGGAATTCTTGGCGTACAGCGAGTAGAGCTCGGTGAGCGACATGTCAGACCGCATCAGACGACTGGCAACGGCAGCCGTTGGCGCCAATTTGCAAATGGCGCTCTCCAAGCTCTGCTCTTGTGCCTCTTTCAGCAAATCATTCGCATGTGCTATCTCCGTCCTCAGAGACTCAATAGTTGCATTCTTTTCATTCAGCTCTTCGGCATGAGTCTGCTTCGCGAGTTGGAACTCTGCCTCTAGCTCACCATACTGATCCGTGGTATCGCTCAACATGCGCTTCAAATCCGAGATGCCCTTGAGCAGTTCGTTGCGCTCAGCGACATTCTCACTTTCTGTACTCTTATAGATCTCAACCAGCTTCTCTTTCGAGTCCAGTTCCTTCTTCAGCTTGTCCACAAACTTTTCGGTTGCCATATTGTGCTGGAACATGCTCTCATTGAGATCCTCAATTTTCTTATTCAATTCCTCAATGGTCTTCGAGTACTGTGCATTCTGGTTCTGGACTATTTGCAGCTCGTCGCACTTCTCCTTGAGGCGCACCTCCAAGTGCATGGTGTTCATAGCATGGTCACGTCGCAGATTCTGTAACTCGGCGTTGTTACGATTTAGATCGCTGCTGAGCACTTGAATCTCATTCTGCAACATGGCACGCTCGCTCTCCAAGCGCCGCTCTTTGATATCCAGCGATACCTCTTTGCTCTGCACCTCATCCAAACGGGCGATAGCCTCACACTTAGCTGTGATGGCAGCCCTTAGCTGCTGCTGATAAGTCTGCAGATCCTGCTTCAAGCGTTCCAACTCGCCATTCTGCCGCTCAATCACCTTCAGCAGTGAGTCACGCTCATCGACAAAGGAAACTTTCTCCTTGCGCAATGTGGTCAAATTTTGATCGTAATTCTTAACAGATTCCAGCAGCTGATCACGCTCGGCAGACACTTGATCCAGCTGGTTGCGCAACTCGGCTACATTTTGCTCAAAGTTAGTAAACTTCACCTGGTTATCGAGTAGTTGGCTTTGCAGCTCCTCATTCTTTTGTTCTGTTTCAGCTGTGGACAGAAAGAGGAAGAAGAAATGTAGGGCACATTTTACAGATTTGTGTGATAGTAAAAAAGTAACATTAAATACATATATGCAAATATATTTTCGTTTTTATTTCTTGTTAAGGCCACTTTACTCACTGAGACGATGCGCAGCGGCTCGCTCTTTACAATATTCATCAAAAAATCCGTCTATATACGATTTAAGTTTTTGCTGCACGCCGGTTGACAGCTGCTCCAGCTCATCCGGCGCAAGAATCTGTTCCAGCGATTGCGGACCACTGAGATCCATAATTGAAATGCTCTTATTTTATCTACGCAATATTCAATTTTTTTAATTTCTCAATTTTATGTACAAAAAAACAATTTTGCACAATTTTTGACGCGATGTACAAGCGAAAATTGCAATATATCTGGCAAGTGTGTACATATTAATTATAGTTCCGACATTTAAAAGAACCTGCCATTAAATAAACAAACGGACTAGTTCCGAATTCAATAATCTAACGATATATTAGTACTTTTTCTTTTAAATAAAGTTCAGCACGGCTAGAAAATGATAAAATTTCGTTGTTTCTAATAAAAAATAATAATACAAACTTTTAACAGAAAACAGTCAACAATTTAAACATTTTAACAGAAAATTAATATGAACCATAGTTCTCTCCTCTAATGTCAGTGTGTCCCTATTTATATTTTTCAGTTTTGCGCTTTTCCGACTTTTATATGTGCCGGCTTTTCTTGGCGTAAATAAAAGAGCAATTGTTAAACTTATAAAAATGCTTCTATGGTACTTACCTAGGCGATTTGCAGCAGCTCGCTCCTTACAATATTCATCAGAAAATTTTTCAATAAATGCCGTCAGTTTTACTTGAATATTGTCTGGCACTAGTTGCAACTCCTCCGGCTGTAAAATACTGCTCAACGACTGTGTGCCATCGAAGTCCATATTGTTTTGTTTGTAATGCAAATCTGCAGAACTGTTTAATTAATATTTTGCTCAGGTTAAACTTTAATAATTTGTCGGAGAAAATTCAGCGCGCGTCTTTACGTTCTTCACCATACTGACTTAACGACGTACTAAACGCAAATAATGATGCATGGAAGTATCGATAGCTGAATAGAATAGGCAATACAAATAATCGATGTATCGATATTTTAGTGCTGGTAAGTGAGCAGCGTACAGTTTGCAGCACTATTACGCGCGTAATTTAATTAATGTAAAATATAATTTCAAATATGATAATGATGAGCGGTTTCATATTTAATAGATTTTAATTCAAAAAGTGTATTTTTTAATTTACATTTTCTTTTTTATTGTTGTTTGGCAACTAATTTTACTTTATTCAAGACTCTGTATACCTGTCTCATACCTACCGCAGCGGCTGTTTTGCCAAGGCAGATATTGCACACAACGACCTCATCATATTGGCTTACATAACCCGAAACGTTGAGCCAAAGCTAACAGACAGCAATCAGCATCAATGTGTGTGCTTCAGCTCTTCATTCAACAGAGACAGGACCAGAGGCACAGGCAGCGGCAGCGTCTGGACCAACGTGTGCCGCGCTTCATCTCTGATAAGGGGCAACTGCACCTACAGCGATACTTCTTTGCGATCAGCGTACACTGAGCGAAATCGTATGGCCTGTAATCAACTCTCTGACTGTGTGGCCATCACAATTTCTTGCAGTGCAACGAACGGGCGATCTGCTTATCAATAATTTGTTTTCCTTCTTTTTTTGCTGCAGCATTTAGGCAGAGATTCGCTAGCGATAGCAGCTCAAGTGTCACACGCCCACATTTTTGGAGCAGCGGGCCAGAGGTTGCCGTTGCCGTTGCCTGGACCCGACTGCTGTGGCCTGCCCATGCAGCCATTTGCACATGCGCCACGCCAATAAACTTGTACCCACCACCGAGGCACGCTTTGATCCTCATCCACAGTCGTCTCCGTTGCCGACTTGAACTTCCAACTCAAAGGCGATCGGCACACGTTAGCTCTGTTGTTTATATTTTTTTCTTTCTTTCTCCTCTTTGCTCTGCCCAGTCTGTCCTCTTCCTGGACTGTCTCGGCCTGGGCTTTGGCTCTGGCTCTGGCTTGGGCTCGGGCTCAGGCTCGAGCTTGGGCCAGCGAGCGCCGGCGGCAATTATCGCGATATGATAAACAAATATTTTTGCATCTAACCCACGTCGCCGACTGAGGCAGCACAATTTCTGGCATTCTGGCGCTTAATTATGAACTCTGTGCTGAGTTTTTTTTCTTCTCTTTTATTTTATTTTTGTTTTCCTGAATGTGTGTGCTTAAATGTTAATGCGTGAATGCACTTTTACCAGGTTGGTAAGCAACTGGCTGGGGTTGTTGTTGCTGTTGCCGTTTGGCCAGGGCTTGGCCCAAGTTGTTGCAATATGCAATTTAGAAGCTTATCGCACTTTGGATACCAATCAGTCGGCATTTTGACTGCATGCAAAGTGGGTGGAGAAATGAAATAAAAATTAAATATGGCTCTATTTAAATATTAATAATTTGTATGTGCATTAAATGAAGGTATTTTGAATTTGTTATAAATTATGTGACACTTAATGTCCGTTGAAAAAGTCGGAGTAATATCAATAACACTATAGTATTATATATATCTTTTAAAATATAAGATATATAGAATGCGTAAGAACAAGAAATTTTAAAGTCTAAAGTCTAAATAAAAAGATTTTTCTGTATTATAAATTTCAAATTAAACATGTGAGATGTTAAATTTTTTAATATATGCAAAAATATATAATATAATAGATAGATCTCTATAGAATTGATTAATTGATCTCTATAGAATTGATTAATAATAGAATATATATTTAATGTATTTATACTGAAAGAGTGTTTCATATCCAGCAAAAGTACATTTACTGATTTTTCTGTCGTTATGAAATATGATTGAATGATATTATACCTGAAATGCACTTATTTTTCACGAGACGTTGATGTATATGCATACATAGATGCAAAGAAAGATATGATTGTAATATAAAGATTAAATTAGGTTTTGAATTGAATTGAATTTAATTTAATTTATATTATTCAAAACTATTTTATTTATCATATTAAATTGATATTGTATGTAACTTTGGTCAAAATACAAAAGTTTAATATATATATAAATATGTTTATAATATTTTCAATTCAAGTAAGTATTCTATAATTACTGCAATATAAATACAAAGAAAAAATAAATTAAAAAATGGGTATATATTTTATTATATTTTTAATGATATTTAAAACAATAGATTTGTATATATTAAAAAGTAAATTCAATAAGTAACATATTTTTAATTTATATAATAATAAATCAATCTAAAAAATAATATATACATTAAAAGAAAAATATTTTCAAAATTAAACAATAATAGATAAATTATATTAAATTAATTTACATAATATAATATATAAATATTATTTTAAAAATATTATAATATATACTAAAATTTGTAATATTAAATTTCCTGTTATTTATATAATAAAACAAAACTCTCAACGCTTTTATCAAATGTTTTAAAATTCTTAGATTCGCTGATAACTTCATATAAATTTCGCTTGGCACCAAAGCAGCCGCAGTTTGCAATATTTGCATACGCTGCTCTATGAGTGTGTCTGTGTGTGTGCTTTGACGAGCATGTGTAAGTATGGGGCTGGTATACACACCAATGCACACACACATGCACACGTTTGGGGGCCTCCACCAATTGAAACAAACCAAATGCAAAGTCGTCTCTCCCACAACACATTAAGTGCCGAGAACAGGTTTTCGTGCTTTCGTTGTATGCGACAAACTGCCCAGAGCTCTGACAAACGATCGTAGCTGAAAAGGGAGAGGGCGAGGTAGAGAGAGCGACAGAGAGAGAGAGAGAGGGGGCGAGGCTGAGCGGGCTGAGGAAGCTCTCCGCTCGGAGACGTTTTAAATATACTCGCAAAGCGACGAGCAGGAATATTAAGTAAGTCTGTTTCATTTGATTCAAAAGAACTTGCCGCACGCCGTTTGCTCGGCCTGAGCTCGAGCTCGGGCTGCGGCTGCGGCTGCGTCTGTGACTGCGGCTGAGTCTGAAGCTGAGGCACACTTGCCCCAGAATGAGACTGCGTCGTTCGCGTTCGTTCCGCTTAGCTGGGCAGCTGACAGTGCCACTGCCAGTGCCGCTGCCGCTGCCTGCTGACGCTGCCGCTGCTGTTGCTCTCTGGGGTCGAAGCTGCTCAGCTTCAAGCTGGGCCAAGACTGCGCAAAAGGTTTTGCTCGTGCGCTTTTTGGCCTTATGCATTCGACTGCGACTCGGCTCGAGATCTCAGTTCCGTTCACAGAGAGTCTCTCAGTGTGTGAGTGTGTGTGTATGCGTGTGTGTGAGAGAGAGAGTGAGTAAGCGGGGTTCAAGCCAAAGTTTCGCCAGCTTGTTGCCTGCTTGCCAGTTGGAACTTGGCAGTTGGCAGTTGGCTAGCGGTTCGTCATCGGCGTGGTTCATGTATCTCTGACTCTAACTTTTGGGCTCGCTACGTAGGCTCCGGCAGCAGCTGCGTTGCGCTTATAATCATAAATATACATGCATATATATGTATGTATGCCTACATAGAGCGGCGTGCATCTGTATCTGTATATATCAGCTATAATAGTATATATAGGCCCGGTTATATGGCAAATGCGTTTGTGCTGTGCATTTTTCCCAAGTGTATTGTAAACTTGTGCACCAACAACAACAACAACAACAACAACAACAGCAACAACTTGCTCTCAGTTTCGTATTTGTTTTTTTGTGAAATGTTGAAGCCCTTGATTTTAAGCACCAGATACGTTCATTAGTCGTCGCAAGACATTTCGTGATCGTAAACGCGTTTATAAGCCAACCTCTTGATCTTGGCTAAAGCGGCCAATACAAGCCAGCGGTAAAAACAGTTCGCAAAATACACAAGAATACCTATAAGAAATTCAAATAGAATTCCAGTGTAATCTCTAAGCAAAATATATGCAAAGTGCTAAAAAGTGGCCAAAAAAAAAAAGTGTACAATCTGGCTATAAAAGTGCTAGATTAAAAGCCAAGAAGCAACAAAAGTAAAATCTGATTGCAAAATTCTCAAGTGTGTGGAGTGCTTAATGTGGGTTAGGGCCTAAACTAGCACAAATTAAAGCAATACACATAACACATACACACACACACACACACGTACACATACACCCGCACAACAAATAGACACAAATTCACACATGCCAACAACAACAACAACAACAACAACAACGAATGCGCAAATTTATGGTTGGTTGTTGGGTTACCACGGCCAGCAGTCGCTTAGGGAAAGAAAAAAACTAACGGAATAATGCAACATTAAGCAAAATGCTGCTGGCCCTGCTAAAGCTAAAGCAAAGCCCAAACCGCCAACAACTACAACTACAACAACAACAACAACAACAACCTGCAACCATCGTCGTCGTCGTCGTCGTCGTCGTCATCGCAGTCACCGTTACCACGAAACGTAGCCGTTGCTGTTGCCGTCTAAAATGGAACCCTCATATGATCACGAACATCCACATCATCTGCTAACAAATTACAAGTAATATTTACATTTTTCCCATGCTATAAAAACAACAACCACTACAGCAGCTACAACTACACACACACATACATATACATACATTTTTTTTCTCGCTGTTTAATTATATCCAACCGTAGCGAAGATACATATCTTTCAAGATAATAACCATAATGAAAAATGGAAAAACTGCGCTGGTAGTTGTGAAGAAATTCTCTAGATATGTCTACGCTAAGTCTGTTGTGGCTCTCCCAAATATATATACTATACATAGAGAGAGGGGGAGTTCAAATCTTAGTCACAAACACGACAGCTGGCCCAAGACAACGAGAGAGAGAGAGAGAGAGAGAGGGGATATATATAGGAGCTATACATACATATATACCTTATATAGTTGTGCTTAGATTTGATTTAAGTTTGTTTTTTTCTTACCTATTTTTTTTTTAGTTTAGTTTTTTAAGAGCTTAAAGACAGCCCCCGAGACAGTC